ATTGATCATTAAACCAGTGAAAAAATCAATTTACAATTTAACGGTTTAATCATAGTTGAACAGCTAACAAGAGTCTAATAATTATAACAATGTAAGCCTAGCGTCTAAAAATTAGTAATAGGTGGTGGGTGTTGCATGTTTCAATCTTAGCACTTAGAGGTGATATGTTGCATATACAGAATCCCTTTATGACCCGTATATGATATAATAATTTTTTTATCATCCCTTTTAATTATGTATTTTAGGAAATATATAGTTATAGGGTAAAGGATTTATCTGGTCAATGAAGATAATTCCAGTGAGCACAAAATGATGTTATTTTGGGATGAAAGTCAAGATATTTTTGTAATTATAATATATTACAGGGTTATATTAATCTTTATCATTATAATTTTTTAATCTTATAATCTCTGAACGATGTCGTTTTGAGCTCACTGGAGATAACTTTATTTTCGGCGACCGGAGAAATACTTTTCCCATAGTTATAATTTTAAAGATATTTTTTTTTTCTCTACACATCAGTCGTTTATGAAGGGAAAGAAAGAAAAATTTAAATATTATAACTATGTCCTCAATGAGCACATATTTATAAGGGGGCGACAAAACAAAATACTATATCTTGTCACAGGATAAACAATAAACCTCTTATTTATATATATAGGGAAAAATGTGTCATTTTAAAGTGTAAAGTCGTGTCATTTTAAGAGATAGAAAGAGATAGATAAAGGAGGAGAGAGAGTTGACAAAAAAAAGGTGTGGGTCCCACCTCTTTGTGAGAGTGAAAAGATATAAGTTGTATCATTTAAAAGGATAAACATTTTTTCTATATATATGGGTCAAGATCATTTTACACCAGTGTAAGTTACACTCTCAAACTTGTCCATTGATCTCACTTATATTTAAAGGCTCTAATTTTTTAGTAATGTGAGTCATTGGATACAAGTGGATCAATGGATAAGACTTCTAACTCTTACACCGGTGTAAGAATATCTTGTCCCTATATATATATATATATATATATATATATATATATATATATATATATATATATATATGAGGTAGGATCCTTTGACACCAGTGTCAAATTTGAATTTTGACACCTCATCTAGGAGCCATTAAATAAAAAAGATCAATGGTGTCACATGCTTACAAATCAGAGTCATTAATCTTTTTTGATCTAATGACTCTCAGATGAGGTGTCAAAATTCAAATTTGACACTGGTGTAACATTTCAATTTTGACACCTCATCTGAGTGCCGTTAGATCAAAAAAGATTAACGACTTTGATTTGCAAGCATGTCACACCATTGATATTTTTTGATCTAACTGCTCTTAGATGAGGTGTCAAAATTAAAATTTGACACCGGTATCAAAGAATATGGGTCTCTGACCTTGATCCCTGCGGATGACAGGTTTTTAAATTATTTGTTTTGATATTATTTTTGGCATTTGGAATCTAGTGATAAAAGAAGGCTATAGATGTAGGGTAGTCGCATGCTGCCAGTGCCTTTATGAGCCCATTTCCTACCAGCACAAGCGTTTGGGGCTAATTGGCAATCCATTTGCGCTACGACAGGTGATGGGTGGTCTTTTTTTATTTATTCTGTTTATCAACTATTTTGTTATAATGTCATGTTTTATTTTTTAGTGGTTTGTGTTGGAGTTATGCACGGATGTATGGAGTTTCAGTGTCGAAACTGTAGCAAGGTAATGAAGCAAAGAAAACCATTAGTGCCGAAGAGACTGGCGATCGGCGGTTTGTGTTAAAATGTAGAAAAGAGTGAACGTCTATTATAGCTGCAGGCTCTAACACATTAATGAGATTGAGATTGAAAAATATTATGATCTCAACAATTGAAAACATTAACTATAATAGCCCTAACTTAATTAATTAGCAAATTATATGTAATTAAATAATTAAACATGTTTTAGTGAGTAAAATTAAGTATAAGGCTTAATTAAATGAATCTGAGTCACTTTGGAGTTAAAAAGTGTACTCAGTGAAAATTAAGGGGTATAAATGAGTGTAGGCAAAAGTACCCAAAATATAAAAATAAAAATAGTAATATTCCTAGAATAATATTTCAGACTTTTGGGTAAAATTTGGTAATTAATGGAGTTGAATAGATAGACGAACCGATATCCACTTTAAACCACTTAACATAAGGTTAAGTGGCATGAGACACCAAAAAGAGCCCCTTTTCCCCATTTTTCCGTCGACAGAAACAGAAGCAAAGAAGGAGAAAGAAGAAGAAGGGAAAGGAGGGAGGAAGATAGAGGGAGAGCAAATCCCAACCGTTTTAGGTGATTCAAAAGCCTAAACCACTTTAAATCTTCTCCTCTTTCATAATCTATGCTTAGTTTTGAGTGGGGAGCATCGTGGAGAGATATATTGCCCCTAAAAAATTCGGCCCTTTGGAAAAATTGAGGTGTTTGAGAGCTTCAACCTCCATTAAAGCTTGAGGAGCCATCAATCCTTGGTTGTGCAACCATTGGTGGTAAGATTCTACCCCTTGAACCTTATTTTCATGGAAAATTGCATGAGTTAGGGGTTCAATGAATAGTAAATTGGGGTTTGTGATGAAATGTTGTTAAATTAACTATGTTCTAGAAAGTATGGAGCTTAGTGTATGTTGTGAAAAATGCTAGGAACGACATTTAATCGGTGAAAATGAGCTTAGATAGCTAAATGAATATATTTGGAAAATGGCAAGAATATGACACTTAGATATTGGATTTCTTGCATTGTTAATAAATGGTTTGGTTTGGTTGGTTGTTGATTATGCCTTGGAGTTGTCTAGGATTGAGGCAATTGGACCAACATTGAGTGACCAACCATTGGAGTAAGCTATGGAGCTTGATTAGCTCCATTGGATAGGTAAGTTCATGCTTATGTTTGGTATGGATTGTATAGCTTCGTTGATAGCTATGAGATGTTATTGGATGCAATATGTGTTAATTGCATTAAACCTTGTGTAGGTTTTGTTTGAGAAGTGGAGGATTGTAATTGACTAACTGTAGAATCCGTGGGTGGTGAACAAAGGTCGAATTGAAGCTTGAGGTAAGCCTTCGGACCTTGGGTGTAATTCCCTTGATTGTTCCACCAAGCCCTGAAAGGGCAGTGGTGATTATAGTGTATATAAATGCAATAAAATAGTGTAATGCTTTGTTATACGTATGTGTATGCATTTGGTGTGGCATAGGATGATGTTTCCCTATGTTGGTATGTTGCATGACGATGCGTAAATAATACTTGGTAGTTAGCTGGCCAGTAGGACTATTTGCATCTAAGTTTCCTTATGACAGCTTGAGAGCTCGAGGGATTTCTCCTGGAGATGTTATTGCATTTTGCATAGATATGTATTTACTGCATTATTATTGTTATTGCTATTACACTGATATGAAACTGTGGGGTGGAGAGATGCTCCACGGACCCCTGGTTTACTGGATATATTCATATATCTCACCCCGTGTTGTGGGGACCCCCTTTCAGGTAAGGATGCTGCAGGAGCCTCTGGTGGCAAGTGGCCATATCTGGATTAGCATATGCATGAAGTGTTGCATTTTTTTGAGATTATACATGTTGTTTTGTAGCTCACATGTATAGAATTGTAATTATAGGCAATGATAGATTTATGATTGGTATATTGGAATGGACTTAGCCTATGCTCATGCCTTTGGTCATCTCTTTTGTTGATGGGAGCCAATGGAATGATCATAGTGTTTGTAAGCTAAGTTCCATGATTTGTAATGAATATGCACTGTAAATGATGCGTACTTGACATTCAATATATGCATGCTTTTATGTATTGAGTTATTGAATTGGTTGGGCTGAGAAATCATATTAGGTACCTAGTTCTAAATTGGGAATGGTTGAGGAAACAAAGGTTATGCTGCCCAAATTTTGGTACAAGCCATGAGGAAAAGGGCATGCATGTCCCTTTAGATGTATTTGTATTATGCAAGAACTAAGAACCATTTATGGAGATGAATTTATATGATAGATTTGGACCGTGGTGTATGTATGGAAGTTGTAGATATTTTTCTTAGCTTTCCATAGAGACCAATATTGTGTAAATTGGACAAGTACAACTCTAGTTAGAGGTAAAATACTAAGACTTGGTGAAACCTTCAGAACTCTGGCGCACTTGGCGCCAACCATGGCGCACATCGCGCCATTGTGCTCGAAAGCTTCTGTTTCGTGGCGCACATCGCGCCGGTGTTGGCGCAAATCGCGCCGGGATCACCAGCTGGCGCACCTGGCGCCAACCTTGGCGCATACAGCGCCATTGCGATAGGGAGCTTATGTTTCGTTGGCGCCCTCCGCACCACAGCTAGCGCCAGTCGCGCCGGGATCAACAGGTTTCGCGCACGCGTTTCGTAGAAAACTCATAACTTGGGCTACAGTGCTCTGATTTGAGCGCGATTTGAACCCACGCGTAACTAACGAAGAGATCTACAGTATAGTAGAAGTTGTGAAATAAATAAGAAGTAAATTAATGGTTTAAAAATAGAATAAGAACATGATGTTAAGCTTGATTTATTTGATTCCGCAAGGTAATATGGTTATGATCACGCAATTGGATATTTTAAATTCGGCATCGTTTTAAAAAGAAAAATTTATCCGGATTTTTAATTGAGCCAATGTGATTGTAACTGCGCTTAATATCATAATGCGATGTTAACAAACCGGTTCTAAAACGGGTGTTACATTAGCTCACCTTAAACGATCCCATTTTCTTTAATAAGTCATAATTTTGATCTGATGGTAATTATGTTTTCAATGCATAGCGTTTTGTCTGAATGCATGGCCTCAATCTAAACACTTCATACCACCAGCTCATTCAAATGAGAAAATGTAATGACAACTGAACAACGTGATATAATTGTCCTCTATGCCCGATTTGTAACAATTGATAAGATCTCTGCTAGTATATGAATTTTCCAGTTCCACAGTATCTACATCTAACACACAATCTACATCACACACACACACACAAAACCCCGAAAAAACCTTGTAAAGTAATAGTTTCCTTCTTTTGTAAAAGACAACTGTGAAGATATAACACTCCCTTTCAAAATGTTGGTACTCCTTATGAGTCACCTGTGCACTGACGGCTAAGAATTCACACACACAAAACCCCCCCGAAAAAACCTTGTAATATAATAGTTTCCTTCTTGTGTAAAAGATAACTGTGAGGATATAACAATCCCTTCCAAAATGTTGGTAATCCTTATGAGTCACCTGTGCACCGATGGCTAAGAATTCAGATATCTGCTTTTGCCTTTGTAGCTGACCCTCTAGAAACTTCTTGAAGGAAGTTTCCAAGCAGCCTCTGATCCAAAATCATATTTGGAACCTGGAGAGTAAACCCAAAAGGTCAAGCCTATGCAAAGAACAGACAGAGATGGAAATAGCTGGGAGAGGAGAGGAATACCTTGTCCCCAAAGAAAATCTTTGTATTATTAGCAATGGCCTGAATAAATTTAAGCTGAAGAAATTCAGGGGTAAGCTTCAACCTGTTTGCTTCAGCTTCCTTTATTACACTTGACATTGCAAAAACAAAAAAACATTTCTTTTATCCAAGACCATGAATTACAATATCATATCCAAAAAAAATAAAAATCAAATGCATTAGAAATAGGAAAATCTCACCGGTAGAAATCTGCATCTGCCAGGCTCTTTTCTCGTGCCAGGTACATTTGATTCTCAATCTCTTCCTGTCTCCTAGCACTATCCTTCTCCAACAATTTTTGTTCCATAAGGATCTTGCTAACATTGGCATTCTTCTCAGCCTCACTAATAGCCATCTTCTTCGTTGTCTCTGCCTCCTTCTCAGATACTTTCTGTTTCTCAATAGCAATTAAGACCTATCCAATAACATCCAAAGTACATTAAACCACTTCTCATTAAACCCCGACTAGCAAGGGTCGGACGAGGACAATCCTTGTACGTAGCCTTACCCTTGCATAATTGCAAAGAGGCTGTTTTCCATATTTGAACCCGTGATATTATTTAGAAGAGAGAAAAACTAAAAACTAAATAGAATGATGGAATATCTAGCATACAAAAAACCAGGTAGAAGCATTTACAAGACTAAACAAGACACACATCTTGGAAAAATGACAGCACAAATCAACCATAAGGGGAATAAAAAAAGCACTTGCATGCAGATGCATCCAGCTCCAGACATATTCACAGTAAAATGACACAGCTCATTTTAGTGAAAATATACCTTAGTACGCTCCTCTTCCATTTGTTCGAAGTTGCGTCTTATGCTCTCTGGAATAGTTGGCTTTGTGACACGGACACTGATGATCTCAATGCCTGGAGCATAGCGGGTGCAGTCAACTTGAAGAGCATCTTTCATCTTTTCATCAATCTGAAAGGGCCCCAATGTTTTCCTTGTTAACATATTTAATAAGATAACAAGAAATGGGAAAAACCAGAAGGCAAACAATATATATTGGGGGAACTCATTTGACGCAATTAAGCAAAAGAATAACAAGGTCTGGAACAATAAAACTTAAGACTTGCATAAACTCCTTTTCAGTGGATGACAATAGAAGCTACAAATTATACACACACATCAAAATGTTTCATATTAAGTCAGCCCTTCATATTTTGCTTAACAATTAAAGTATAAAATGGAACTTACCAGGATAAAATAAACTATGACTGTAAAATTACACTTCTAAAACATTAAATCTCGCCTGATCAAACACATCAATATAGACTTGTTGAAGACTATGAGAGCTGCAGAACTGATTAATCTCATGATGAATCTTGTCATATATCCACGTCTTATCATACTGGACACCATAGTTGAGCAATGTCTCAAAGACAAATTCCTTACGGAGTCGGTTAACAACCTAAAAGAAGAATATACATCACTGCATATAAGATTAAAGATGTAAAAAAGTAGACAACTAGTCAATCAAATATTACATAAGATTACCTCGATCTTCCCAAAATTGATCATAACACCTCCTTTAGTACCGCATGGTATATCTGTCACCTGCAATAGTCACCATAATTCCAAAATCCAAATTATAGACCCAAAAGAAACCCCAATTCCCGAATCTGTTCTAATCAATTTACCTGGTCTGTCTGAAGTGTCACTTGAACTGGCTCATACAGAGTTAAGAAAGGCATCTTTAAATGGAAACCTGAAAAAATTAATAGCATGAACATGTAGCAAACTTTTGTGCAAGCACATATTGAAGAAAAAAACATTGAAAAAAGAAGAAGAAGAATAAAGGAGTATATAGCACCTGGCTCTGTGATTGTTTTCAGAAGGGCACCTCCTCTCCAATATACCCCCACATGGCCTTCAGGGACTTGGTGCAGAATGGTTAAGGACACTGAAGGGACCAAAACCTGTAGATAATATCACATGTTTTAAACTTGATATATTGTGTATTTCACATGTTTTAAGCTTCAGATATTGAGCAGGGTCAATTTAATTATTTTTGCAATTCTAATAAATACTAATAGTACAATAACAACAATAACTAAACCTTATCCCATTAGGTGGGATCGGCTACATGGATCAAATGATACAATATGCTCTATAAAAACTAAAATTTCAGATAGCTTATTCAATTCAGCAAAATTTCCAACCTAGCTGACATTGATTAACAAGTCGCAATTGAAAATTATAAGCAGAACATCTTCATTCTTTGAACTGATCTCCTTCCCAAAAACATTGTAAGCAAGAATTAATGCCAAAGCCTACTAAAAAATAAAATAAACTAATGCCAAAACAACAACAAATTAAGACAAATAGCCTATTCATTATCATTTAGCATCAGTAATTTAGAACTTCTTGCCATTCCTCAATCTAACAAGTGTAAAGGTGGGCAAAAGATTAAGCAGATAAGTAAGTGTTAATGTCTCGTGCATTCATCCCATGTAAGTCCTGTCCTGAGTGTCCTCTGTTTATATCGGATCATATTTAATACGAAACAAGGTTATCTCACCAATGCAGATGTTATACCTGAGTAAAGCTTTTACCCTATGGAGTGATTACATTCACTTCGACATGATTACTACGTCATTACGAAAATGTGAGGCATAGAATAAATATATCCTAAGGTGTGATCAAACAAAACATTTAGCATATCACATTTCGCGTAACAGCTGATAAAACTCCACCGTCATCAACTTGCTTGTTCCATTAAATTCAAACCATGAAAGGAAAGATTGCTACATTTTTTTGCAATAGCACATAAAATGAAAATGACTGGAAATTTTTTTGTACAAATATACGAAACATATTGATACAAGTTAAGAAAAACATCAAAATCAACTGGAAAATAATCTTATAAAAGAAAGGAAAACCAAATAACCAAATCAGGTAACTCAAGATAATGAATTGATAATGGATTCTACGAATGAGATTCAGCGTAACATCGTTGTTCTACGAGATCAAGAGCAACTAACCATGGCTTTTTCATATAAGGCATGAAATGAAACGATAATGCTGAAAGTTAAACTCACGCATTGTCGATTATAGACAAACGAGAAACGAAATCAAGATTGAAAATATTTTGCCAGGTTCGGAAAGAGACAAATGCATCAATGCAGGAACTTCGAATCGCAATAATCAGAGAGAGAGAGAGAGACATAGTTACCGCAGCGGCAATGACAACGAATAAGAGGAAGGCCGTGAGATTGATGGCGGTTGAATCACCGGCTTGTGGAGACGGAGGAGTTCGATGCTGCGAATCCATGGCGGTGGAGAAGTTTTTTTACTCTTACCGCCACTGTCACACACGTTCTTTTGGTTTTTATGCTCTTTTCGTTTGGGTTAAGCAAAGAATTTTGGCGTGCTTCACTAGCTACAATGTGGCATGCGTAAAGACAGGTACACGTAGGTTAGGTTTAAAAATGTAATTTTCTTCTTTTAAAAAAATTTATATATATATTTTAAAGATTTTTCAATGTGATTAATTACTGTAGTTTGTTTGAGCTGTCTATAGTCCGGGAGTGGATTAAATAAGTGGGGTCAATTATTATTAAGGAAGAAATAGATAGACACAAAAATTTCACATAATTAAATTATATAAAATTTTAATAGTTGGTGTTGATTAGTGAATATTAATTAGGGGCGTTGCAAGATTGGGTTATGGTTATTTGAAAGGAAAAAGTAGAAGAATTATTCATCTTCATAATAACTATTTGAAACGTCATATAAGTTAATGTATGTTGAATTCTAGTTCTGTTTTTGACAATTGATGGCGATGGAGAACGACTACACGATGAAGATAGGCTCGAACAATTTATAGGTTTATAGCTTTCTATACTGAGTTTTACGCTGACGTTGTGGTCCTTGTGCTACCTATATTAGGCAGCTTTTCCACCCTTTTTTATTGATCGGGATCATAATGATTCGCAGAGGGAGTTTATTGATAATGAAATATATGATCATTTTGGGATTGGATGTTTTTTATGCCTTTTCTTTCAAATTTTTGTTCTTTTGTACTATACAAGAGACAGAATACTATGATGTAGTGCTTGGTTCGGAAGAAATTGTTTTTTACTAGGGAAATGGTTGGAAAGTGAGTTTGGTAGGAAAATGTAAAAAAAATTGTTTGGTTGACCGAAATATTACCAGAGAAATTTATTTAAATATGCAAAATTTATGTTCGGGAGAAACTTTGCATCTGTTTTTTCACTTCCTCAGTTATCTCAAAATACCACATCTCAAGTGGTATTCTGTAACAGTGAATTTCATCTAAAAATCAACACAAAAGTCATTTTCTCATCTATTCTATTTGCCTAGTATTTTTTGAAAAAACCTGAACTAAACGTGATATTTTTCAATATTCACTTATACTTTCCCATCAATCCCAAAATAAACCTTCAACCAAACACTACCTGAATAAACAGAGAAATCCAAGGATACACCAAAGTATCCTCATACTAATTGACGCTCATATCATCCTAAGATGTTGCAGCACAAAGTTGCATAACATGTTCTTCATATATTCTTATGTAGTGGATAAGAAGGGGTTTGAAAGAAGAAGAAAAAAGTAAGATGAAAAGGTGTGGGTTATAAAGAGTTTCACATTGGACAATTAATCAGAGATGAGAGAATATATAAGCTCCTACCTCACACTTATAAATTGTCTCTTGGAGAACTACATATTTTGTGGAGGAAAGAGGAGCTACATGGCCTTTGCAAGTTTTTTGCTTCACCCGTGCTGACATCCATACATTCCTGTAGATAATTTTGTTACGTTTAGATTCAAGTCTTTTGGTGATCTTTCACCCACATTTTCAACAACAGTTGCGACTCTTGTACTTTTATTGCCTTGGTATGGAGGATGCTACACTTGATTTTATGACTAGTGGTGAGTATAATGTTTCCACCCAAATAAAAAAGGTATTTGCAGCATTACAAGTTGATGAATGTTGTATTTATGCTATATTTTTATGGCATTTGGACAGTAGATGCCCTATAGGCTTTAATAGAGACGAATACTATGAAATTATTAATATGGCTGTGAAGCATATACATTCTGATAATTCCATGAGATACTGTGAGTGTTCATATGGTATACTCTTTTCCCTCCAAATTGCTATAGTGTCTACTACTACATATCTGTTGACTTTCATATTCTTTTATGTGCTCGTCACTAACTAGTCATATTTGCTGTAGAGAAACAGTCATATGTGATCACCAACATTTTTTGCAGTCTTTAATTTCACCAATATTTAGTTGAGGTTTACATTTATCATAACAAATTTTTCTACACACACAACATTTTGTAAGGCCCACACTTTTTGAAGAAAAAAAAAAGAAAAAATTATGACACGCAAAACGAATCTCTATAACATTATATAATCACTTTTTCTACGACATAACTCTTATAAAACCCTATTTAGTTCAACATTAAATTCTTTATCTCCCGTAATGAGTCAATTTTACCATCTTAACGCTTTTATTCATATAATTCAAAAGGTGTACATGGCTGTAATTACAAATTTTAATATAAGGTCATTATATAAAGACACACCTATTCATGTTCAATAATATTTGAGACAGTTGGATTGAAGTGTTATACACTGTACACACTAGATCCCTTGGAAGGTGGTTGTGACTTACAGTTTTTTGTTTACTGTTAATGATGCATATTGAACTCTCGTGTGGTGACTTTTATGCCTATATTTTATTTTATTTTTACTAAAATGCTTTTAATTCAAGTTTATCTCACACCAAACTAAAAACATATATAGCCTTTATTTTTGGTAGGATAACAACTCAAAAGTATTTTTTTATGAATTGGAGATGAAAGTGGGGGTAGATGGAGGGTGATATGATAGCAACCACTGAAGAAGATATAATTGAGGATGTTAATCAGATAGAAGGACAAGAAGAAAGCATTGAGGATACTCATCACATAGAAGAGCAAAGCATTGTTGTAAGAAAAGGCATTCGTGAAAGGAAGAGACCCATCAGGTTTAGGGAATGACGTGTAAGATGAATAAGGTAGTTAGTTGGAAAAAAAGGTGACGTGTAATAAAAAGGGAGAGAAATGTTAGGTAAGGATGAGTGGCTGTGATATTGAGTGGTGTATAAAATAGGGACTTGTAAACTGTGGAGGACACTTGATGAATAATAAACAGAATTTTCTTTTCCTCATCTTGACTCTCTTCTCTGCTCTCTTCTTTCTTATTCTCAATTTCATTTGTAGAGGAATTCCTCTATCAATTGGTGCTTTCATCCTGAACCATGGCTCCTGAATCTCGTGTTCGATCCATGGACGATCGTTGGGAAACCACACAAGCTGAGGTAGAAGTGTTAAAGGAGCAGATGACCAAACGCTTCCAGGAACTCAGTTGCAAACTGGATGCGATCTTCAACAATTACAAAGAACGACAACCATCAACTACTAGCTCCACATCCAATCAAAATTCAACCACACGAGACCATGCAGCAGCGAAGAATCTTCGATTGAAGGTTTCACGCTATGATGGTTTGACAGACCCACAAGGTTGGATTTACAAAATCAACCAATTCTTTGATTTTTATGAGATGGATGAAGAACAACGATTGAAGATTGCCCCTTTTTACTTTGAGGGCAAGGCTTTGAAGTGGTACCAGTGGTTTCACAAAATTTCCAAGATTGATTCGTGGCCTGGGTTTCTTCGATCTCTACAAACAAGATTCGGTCCTTCTGAAATGGAGGATTATCAGGGTCAACTCACTAAGTTGTTTCAAACAGGAACAATGATTGAATACCAGGAGCAATTTGAACATTTATCCAATCAAGTAGATGGCCTTTCAGAATCATTTCTGGTAAGTTGCTTCATCTCTGGATTGAAACAGGAAATACAACATGATGTGTCTGCATTTTGTCCTTCTTCCTTGTCACATGCAATGTCCTTAGCCAAGATACAAGAGTCCAAAATCCAACTCAAAAGCAACCCACCAAAATTGCATTCACCCTATCCTCCATTACTTCCAACACCCACATCACATTCGAAATTTCACCAAACCACAAACACCATCAAACCCACTATTACTCATAATCAAACCAACCCGAACACTAATTCCATAAACCCTACTATTACTCATAGACTCACTCAGTCAAATCCAAGAACGAAAGGATAAAAATCTGTGTTTCTATTGTGGTGAGAAGTATTTTAGAGGTCACAAATGCAAACCTTCGGTGCATGTGTTAATTGTTCCTGATGAGGATGTTCTAGATGGGGAGATTCTTCCTAATTCTGACTGCATGGAGGAATATTCTTCCTTACAAACAGAACCTCCTGCTATGCATACCCCACAAATCAGTATGCATGCCTTATCTGGTTTTGTGGTGCCTCAGACATTACGTTTTAAGGGACTTATTGGGAAGTCAGAGATGTTGTTATTGGTTGATGGTGGCAACACTCACAATTTTGTGCAACCAAAGGTAGTTTCGGATCTTCAACTGCCTGTGCTAAATGACAGACGATTTGATGTCATGGTGGGAAATGGTCAAGTGCTCAAATGTGAGGGATTCTGTTCAGCTGTGCCAGTACAAATCCAACAGCATGTTTTTTTAGTTGACTGTTATGTACTACCCATACAGGGAGCAAATGTCGTCCTTGGGGTTCAGTGGCTGCAATTGTTGGGCCCTATTCTGTTGGATTATCAAAAGCTGTCCATGGAGTTTTCATGGGAAGGTGAGTCTATCAAATTGCAGGGAGATAAGCACACCACTTCAATTTCTTTCAACCAATTCAGAAAAATTCAACAACAAGGGCAGGTAGCTTCCTTATTTCAATTGTCTGTTATTGATGACAGACCCTTAGCTCCTGCTGTTGATACCAATCCAGATATAACTGAGTTGCTTCAAGAGTTTGATGAACTCTTTCAAGAACCAACACAGCTACCACCACATAGGGAATTGGACCATCACATCCACTTACTACCTGATACAGCCCCAGTAAGTGTAAGACCATACCGATATCCCCATTTTTAGAAAGGGGAGATTGAAAGACAGGTCAAGTTGATGCTGGATTCTGGTTTTATTAGGACCAACACAAGTCCTTTTTCATCTCCAGTCTTTTTAGTTAAAAAAAAGGATGGATCATGGAGATTTTGCATTGACTTCAGAGCCTTAAACAGCTTCACTGTTAAGGATCGATTTCCTATACCAACAGCTGATGAATTAATGGATGAATTAGGTGGCTCAAATTTTTTTTCCAAGCTTGATTTGAGAACAGGATACCACCAAAT